AAAAAAAAAAGCAAAGCAGGAAGAAGAATGGTAAAAAGAAAATTGTTGCTCACGTTAGATGTGACAATGTGTAAATCATCGATGCATGTATGTACATATACGGTATGTACATATCTAATTTTCCCCGTATGAACTTAGTTGATAAGTTAATCAACGTCGAGGTGCAATCGAGGATACCGAATTTCGAGATACATTAGCTGAACTCAATTAAATTTTTTATCACAAAGTTTTTAATCTTACATACATACATACATACGTACTAGTTGAAGAACTTCGAAGCAACGGCCTTAAAAGGAAGATTTATTTTTCTCACTGCTCTTGAAAATACCGAGAATTAAGGGAACGCAGCGCGATGTCTGTGTAACCGGCGACCAAACGTTTTCGTTTCGGGACAGTATCGAGTTTCAAAACACTGCGAGCGAGAGCGTACCGTCAACACCACCACCCCAGGGATAACGCGGCCATCTCGCCGAATTTAACGATTCGTATCTGTATTCTTTTCGAATTGCGCATATGTACTTGTATATTGGAATACTAACGAACATTTCATTTATTGTAACCGTAATAAAGAGTAAATGTTCTGAATGGCGTCGAGTACCCAGTTCTCGTATGGATTGTATCGATCACGTCGGCTGAGAAATATTCATATACAATTGTATAAATACGAACAGAGAAAGCTACAATTCTAAAAGGATAGAATATACTTCTAGTTACACGGTCTGAGACTAATGAGATCCTGAAAGTATCTTTGTTAACGAATACTAGTTGCTTAAACATGCAGAACTCTTAAACAATGCTTTTACGGCTATCGTTTCAGTTTCTATCTTGTGCCTATTGTAAAAAATAACAAGTTTTCGTCGATAATTTCAAAGGAATATCACGTTACATTAATGTGCGCATTATACTTTTTAATAACACAGGAAAATAATAATGAATAGCGGACACAATCGATAAGTGCAAAACCAGTCTACATTTCTGAAATATTTCAAACGTTTGTAAATATTCTTAACTGCTTATTGTACAGTGTGCATCGTATAATTGGCATCCTTCGTTCATTCGTCTCATTATAAAAACTGACAAATAAAGATAATCATTGAAACAAAAGATCGTGCGTTCTTTCTAACCTACCCTGGTTTAAATGCGAAATTTTGCGCGTACGAGTAGTTTAGTGGAATTTGTAAACTAGATCGAGGACATTTATGTAAATATATGTAGATTTTCATGGTCGATTTATTGGAAGTCTTAAGCGATTTGTCCAAATAAAATGGAAGCCATATTGAACGTTATTCAATTTCGTATTGCGTTAATTTTACACTCACTATGAATTTATAAAATTTGCGGCATAATAATACTAATACACCATGTCGTTGTAAACGTCGCGTTATAATTACACTTGAATCAACTATTTCGATGAATAACAGTGCTCATACAGCACAAATAATTCAAATAAGCTTTCCTTAAAACAGAAAAACCGTTGTACACGCCATGTAATGAACGTCAAAATTGCGCGCGGATTTGTGATCCTGATATATCGTATTTTTTGATCGATATATCAGTTGATTTTTCAAAAAACTATTCGTCAGGTACGCAAACAACGTTATAGAAGTGTTTGAATCTTACTTGGTTGATAATAAAAGCCTTTTTCCATCAATTTTTTGGAATTTTCTGCAGAGCCGCAGCATCCTTCTTCACGCCAGCACTCCATAGTCACCACTAATGAAGACTATACATACTTTGGCGATTGACTGTAGTAGTGAACTACGTAAGTTAAAAAGGTAGCACCACCTCTGGCGACAAAATATCTAAACAATAGGGCTCTGTACGCTGCCGAAAAATAATTAACGACGATATTAATAAATAATGTAAATAAATATAATATAATATAAGTATGATTTCAGTGCATTTTTTATTGCCGTAATTATTGTATTGTTTCTTTTTTCGTGGATTTTGTATTTGCCGCTTTTTTACGAATAATATTTTTTCAATTGTCATGCGCAGTGGTCACATGACCTGATCATTTTCATTTGTGGAACGGTCTTGAACGGCGCGCGGTCTCTTTATTGCTTGCGCTAAATTTGTAAAAAAAAGTGGTAATTAATATTCCGTGACGCGATATTGTGTGAAAAGTGTGTGCGTCGAACTCATAGGAACTGATTGTGGTAAGTTTTTTAAATCATCGAGATGAAAATTAAAAGATATATAGAGATAAATTTTGCGCGTCCGTTAGGACTATGACCTTGACGTGACTATAATATATTTAAACAATTTTTTCTGGAAAATTCCATTTTTCTATCGGTTTGACTAACGCCAAATCTAATGAATATGTGTTTTCTTCTTAATAGATCAAGAAATAGGTTTCCAGTCCAAATTTTGTATGGAATCACGGGGCAACAAGAATACATCACGACGGGTTTTCCATGAGAAGAACTATTCGACAAAGGTCAGTTGCATGCTTCTACTATGTATAATATTTATAATACAATTATTAAGCAAAATCATATAATACCAATTCTTGTTAAACACATCGTTACGCAGTTAATATTTTACACGTTTTTAGAATTTATAACATATGCAACATATGAATATATTTGTGTACATGCCACGGGCGCGCTCGCGCACACTTGCGCATGCGCATAAATTAAATTTTCATTTGAATAGTACTGAAATTTTTTATTAAAAAATCTTCATTAATGAAGGCTAAGGAACCATATCATTATCATTGGTTTACCAACCCCGTTATCTGTTTCTTTGTCATTCATTGATATTTGGTTATTTTTAAAACTATTTCTCTTTATCAGCTGCGGTATGGTCAGTAGTTAGACACTACAAGATGTCGCTGAACGTACAGAAATTTGTAATTTCATGTATCGATGTTGAAGGATGAAATTTAACTTGATAATCTTTCATTCAGATCATTTTAAGCCTCGTGACTAGTCGACATCGCAACGTGCTGCGGTTTTTCATTTTATCTTTTTTTGAGTACCTTGTTCTCCAAAAAAATAAATCACTTGAGGACCTACTTAAAGACTCATTATTGTTTCGTTGATTGTTCAAGTGTCTTATAATACATACTGCCGAAATGAGCAATCAAAAGACTGTGCCAAATTCGATAAAGTTCCTTTTTGGTGGAACTGCAGGGTTTGTTTTCCTATTGTTATTTTATGTCAATTATGTAGCATATAACTTACAAATTTTAAGTACATTTTTTAATAGATTATTCCATTACACATTTACTTTTAGTATAATTTGATTGTAAATTATCAACATTAATTCTTCATAATAGTTAAGTAATATAATACATAATATAATACAAAAATAAAAGTTATGTAAAAATGTTAGTTTCCAAATTTTGAATGCTAAAAATAATGTTTTGCTACCGTGTAGTACATTTATAACTCATCCTTGTATCAAGTTATTTTTATTATGATGATTTGCATTCAAAATGCGCAGTTTTAGTTTATACAATCAGAAATTTTGTATTCCATTTACTGTTCTATTTTAGAATGGCTGCAACATGTTTTGTCCAACCATTAGATTTGATAAAAAATAGAATGCAGTTAAGTGGTACTAAAGTATCCACAATGAGTATAATATCTTCTATAGTTAAAAAAGAAGGTCTCCTAGCTTTTTATTCAGGTTTATCTGCTGGTTTATTACGCCAAGGTACTTATACAACTACAAGACTTGGTGTAAACGCGTGGCTATATGAAATTGCCTCGTGAGTATATCTTAGTTAATAATTAAGCTAGATTGCCAGACCATTGATATTAAAGCTAATGATTGTACATATGATCTCTCATTGTTTAATGTCCACTACATTCAGAAAGGAAGGTTACTCAGGTTTTACAGTAAAGGCATTGATAGGTAGTATTGCTGGTTGTGTAGGAGCATTTGTAGGTACTCCTGCAGAAGTTGCTTTGATTAGAATGACCGCAGATGGCAGATTACCTATTGGTATGTTCGTAATTTCTTCTTCTTCTTCTTCTTCTTCTTCTAATAGGGTATTTTTCATTTTGATCAATTTTATATTTTTAGCTGAAAGACGCAATTATAAAAATGTATTTAATGCTCTGACTCGTATAGTCAGAGAGGAAGGTATTTTAGCATTATGGAGGGGTACTGTTCCAACAATGGGGAGAGCTATGGTTGTAAATGCAGCTCAGTTGGGATCATATTCTCAGGCTAAAGAGGTTTTACTTGATTCTGGTTTGTATCATGATTAATGAGAATATCAAAAAGTAGCAATGGGTTGCAATAATATTTTTCCATTTATTCGAGTAGGCTATTTTAAAGAGAATATTGTATTACACTTTGTGAGCTCGATGATTTCTGGTCTAGTAACAACTGCTGCTTCTATGCCAGTTGATATTGCTAAAACAAGGTAAATATGAAAGTATGAATGTGAGCTGAAACTACAATTATTAAAACAATATCACATCTTCGCATATTGGATTCTTTGCAGAATACAGAATATGAAAATTGTGGATGGTAAACCTGAATTTAAAGGTACAATAGATGTTATACTGAAAGTTTGTCGAAATGAGGGAGTATTTTCATTGTGGAAAGGTTTCTTGCCCTATTATGCTCGTCTAGGTCCACATACTGTTTTAACATTCATTTTCTTAGAGCAAATGACTAATGCATACAAAACTTATTGTATAAAGTCATAAATAGGATTTCAACTTGATACATGTATACATAAAAAATTAGCACCTGCAGAGATATTCCAATCCCTTGTAATTATTTTTCAGTTCATATTTTCTTTTTGTAATGAATTTTTGGATACCATATGTTGGCAATGTAACATTTACTCTTCCAGTAGAATCACTATTTTTTACATATGTGCACACCTTTTACTTGGATAAAAATATTTAGACTATTTTCTAGTATAAATTTTGTGCAATTGTTAATTTAAGTATGTATGTATGTGTCTAATATTTTTATGATAAATTTAAATCAACTTTGTTGATATACAGAAAACAATACATTCTAGAAACATTCTTCTAACAGATTAAATCGTTTGATACGATTTTTATTTTTTACATGTTGTTACTATAAAAAAATATATATTTTCTTGTTTTTTAATGTTTGTATATGGAATGCTTGTACCATAGACCTGATAAACGACTATAATATACATATTGTAACAAATTAGCTATTAATCTTTTTAATTTAAATGAGTGAAAATGCAAGCTAATGTATACTCTAATGTGTATAGTTGCTACTAATACAGACCATCTGAATTGTATTCCATAATTGTTGAATAAATAGAAAACATTATTTTTTTAATGGTTATGTCTTCATTTATTACACATTCGTATAAAAAGATGTAATTTTCAGGAAGGAAATCATTTGATTTGAATATTTAATGATGTAGCCAATAATGATAAAGTGAAATGACCTCTCGTCACGTTTTAAATAGGTCGCGATTATTTGTGCATGGGAATGAGGTTCCATCAAACAAACCGTCTGTTTAATGCATCAACAACACGTTTGAATTTATTTAAACGATGTATTCATACATGCAAGTCATATCTGAAACTAGGGTAAAACGTTTCAGAAATATGTATACATTTGCTTGATTATAAGGTTATATGATTAAGAATATGATGACATTTGTATTTATTTAATATCTTTCACAATGTCAAAAAAGAAAAAGACTGAAGCTTGGGGGGATAATGGATTTGAAGATTGGGTATGTAAAAAACTAATTACTATTTTTAGTATACTGTATTAAAATCAATTGAGGTATATCATAATCATTTTAGGGTGGGTATATGGCTGCTAAGCAAGCGAAATTAGAAGAACAGTTTCGAGCTGAAGCAGATAAAGAATTTCAAAATGCATCAAACATTTTTGAAGGAATTGCAATTTTTGTGAATGGTTACACAGATCCTTCATCAGATGAACTTCGTCGTTTAATGATGGCCCACGGTGGTGTGTACCATCATTATATGAGACCTAGAGCCACAACTCATATTATTGCCTCTAATTTGCCACACTCTAAAATAATATTGTATAGAAAAAGTCAAAATCCAATACCTATATGTAAACCCAATTGGATTGTAGACAGCATAAAAGCCGGTAGAGTGCTGAATTTTCAAAATTATTTACTTTATTCGAATTGCACGGACACACAACCACGATTGAACTACAAAAAGAAAACTGAAGCCAGTGAATTAAATGACCATCCTGATGCTCATAACGAAATAGAAAGGAATAATGATCTCAAACCTTTATCAAATGACAATACAGTTAGTACACTGAAAAATACAGCCATAAATCAAGATGTTCCAAATCCTAGTGCATCCCATAGTAAAAGAGATGCTAGATCAACAAAAAATTCAGAATTCATATCAGAATTCTATAATAATTCGCGTTTGCATCATATCTCAACTATGGGAGCAACTTTCAAAAATTATGTAAATGAATTAAGAGATAAGAGCAATGGAAAGTTCCCTGGATTAACTAAGCTGAAAGAGTCAAGAGATATGAAGTTGGGTGGGTCCCTGTCATGCTCTCAATCTAATTCTCAGAATGATATGCTCGATTTACAAGAAGAGAACAAAATATACATTAGTCAGGGATCTGTAATAATGCATATAGACATGGATTGTTTCTTTGTCTCAGTTGGTCTCAGGAATAAGCCAGAATTAAGAGGCTTACCAGTTGCAGTAGCTCATGCAAAAGGCAACAGACAACTAGCAAGCACCAGTAAAGATGTTTCAAACGATGAACTAGGGTCAATGTCAGAAATAGCATCTTGTTCTTACGAGGCGAGAAAAGCTGGAGTTTATAATGGCATGTTCTTAGGAGAGGCATTAAAAATATGTCCTAATTTAAAAACGATACCATACGATTTCGAAGGCTACAAGGAAGTGTCGTACACATTGTACGATACCGTAGCATCGTATACATTAGACATCGAAGCGGTCAGTTGCGATGAAATGTACGCAGATTGTACAAAAATACTCGAGGAATGTTGCGTAACACCGATGGAATTTGCAAGTGCGATCAGACAAGAAATAAAGGGAAAGACAGGTTGTCCTGTATCAACAGGATTTGGTAGCAATAAATTGTTGGCACGACTAGCCACAAGAAAAGCCAAGCCCGATGGTCAGTTTCATCTGAAGCAAAACATTGAAACGTGCATCGGTGGTCTCAATGTGCAAGACTTGCCAGGTAAGATTGTCGTTCGTTAGGGGTGGTTTGTCGATTTCTTAATAATTCATCGTATTATTCGAACTAGGGGTTGGGTGGACGACGACGAACAAGTTAAAGACCATGAATGTTCGCACGTGTGCGGAATTACAGACGATTACATCGTCAGCGTTACAAAAGGAATTCGGTAAAAAGATGGGAGAAGTGTTGTACAATATGTGTCGAGGGGTAGATAATTCGAAACTTAATTTAGAACATATCAGAAAATCTGTGTCAGCTGAAGTTAATTATGGGATAAGATTCGAGTCCAACGAAGAGGCAGTAGATTTTTTAAAAAAGTTATCCGTCGAAGTAGCCGACCGATTACGAAAAGCTAACGCGAGGGGTAGATCCATCACGTTGAAACTATTAATCAGGGCTAAAGAAGCGCCGAAAGAGACCGCAAAATTTATGGGTCACGGGCTTTGCGATTATATGACGAAATCAAAAAATCTTATCGCTCCGATCGACGATGCGGATATTATAGCCAAGTAAGTAGTACAGTTGGCTGTATACTTTCGCGTCGAGTATAGAAATTAAATAATAATTTACTGGTACACTCTTCAGGGAAGTAATTGGTCTTTGGAATCAAATGTTAAAAGCCCCGGAAGACGCAAGGGGCATCGGTATACAGATAACTCGGCTGGAAATACTAAAGAGCAAATCGCGCGATATGACTCTAAGAAATTTCGTTAATAAAGCCAAAGATAATAGTGCACTGACGAAATCCACGGAAACATGTAGAAACAACGAGGCTCGTACGGAGAGCGTTCATTCCGTTCCATCAACGTCGAAAGATGTAATTGTGAATAACGAAGAAAATTTAGCGACTTCTTCAAATATCGACGGAGCAGTTATTTCTGAACTTCCAGAGAACATTCGAAATAAAATTTTTGAAGTTCAAAAGACCAAGCATACGGTCGCTGAAAAGAACGATGGAGACGACGCGACGACTAGCGTGCGAAAAATTAATGAAAAACGACCGGAAAAAAATGTTCAAACGCTCCAAGAGAATTTTTTTAAACAGACTAAACCTGGCGTTTCCAGACCGGCGAAGGTGAAAATGCCCCCGATCCATGAAATCGATATGTGCGTCTTAATAGAACTTCCCGAGGATATCCGAAATGAAATACTTAATGAATACAGTGCTCATAGTAGTGGGATTCAGACGAGTGGTAGTACAGACGAAGGGAATAACGGTACGAATCGTTCGACGGAAGTAAAAAATACTGCTCAATTGAATCGCGACGAGGAAAACATATCTTTCTCGCAAGTCGATCCAGAATTTCTGGCTGCGTTATCGGACGACTTGAAACGCGACGTTCAAGATTATTGTACGGCTAAAAAAGCGGAGCAGTCTGCGAGAATAAAAAAGGACGATGCAACTCGTAAAGTCGGGGGTGGATTACTACTGAGAAACGAAAATGCCACGGTGAAAGGTAGTAAAAAGACCGAGCGCAAATCAAAGAACAACGGTAAAAATTCGAAAATATCGTCGAAACCTAATAAAAGGAAAGGTATAGCAACCGCGTTCAAAACAATACAGAATAAAAATGAGCACGTATCAGAGCAGAAACATAATGATGTTTCGAAATCCATATTGCCACGGTTGAGCGGAGTCGGATCGGTGAATGAACGAGTCGCCGGTGACGAAGCTGAGGCGATTCTATCTCATAATCGTACTATATCGGAAGACAATGAAAGTTCAATTCAACATCAAGACATTTTAATTGATCTTGTAAATCGCTTACTTAATCTACCTCTAGAACAGGTAGCGTTTATGATTAAGTTATTATTATAAATCGATGTAGTTTTGTTCGGTGAAACACGTCTTCGTCGGAAAGCATAGAAAATGTTCTAGCGATAGTGTGGTAGTGATCGGATTGAATTTCGATCGAGCTGCGATTTTACGGGGCACAAGGGGGAATACATGCTCGACAATATACTAATCCTTTTTACATTGCTGTATGATAATACAAATGTAAAATACACGGTTGCAGGTGAAGATGCAAATACAAATATGGATCACTAATTCTAATATCGTAAACGAAGTAGACTTCTTATCACTCGCAACATTTCTCAGCATGCTTCCGGAGAAGAAACGCATCGAAGATTTACATATTTTATTGAAAACCATGCACAGGTATATCCATATTGTATGCAAGATTCGTTATATTCACCCATGTAACAGGTGGATATTAAGTGGTATATTACACATAGGATTCAGGGATTAGTTGTCGTTTTACTCAGTTACGTTCGATAAATAAAAATGGTATTAAAGACGTCGTACATTAACTTATTTATGTTCATATTTTTAGATGTATGACAAAAACCGGAAATTGCATTTGGCATAGGACATACAGGAAAACAGTAAAATACGTTCAACATTATATGCAGATCGAATATAACAGCAATCTAATGGTACCACCGATCAAATGCAATCATTTGCAGTGTAACAATGATATAATGTAAATTTCTCGGAATTGAATAAATTAATATTTTTACAATGAGGTTAATAAGAAACCTATTTACAAGCAAATATGATACTTACCTTCAATTTCATTGAACACAGTATCAGTATTCTCTCTTTTTTTTTGTTTTTCTTTAGATAACATATTAATTTACAATTGAGAACATATGTTTTTCGAAAAAATTTTGCTCAAAGGTTTTATATAAATCGGTAAGAAGTCATAAACCTCGAATTCGTACGTATTTTTGTAATATATATATATATATTTTTAAATATACTTTTTACTTTGTAGTCGTTACGCGCAGGGATGGTGAAAAAATAGAAAGGGTTGAGTTAGGGATGAGCGTTTACTACTCCCATTCGGTAGTTCCCGGCGGTTTAGATGTTAAGTCGTACAAAACACGCGAGATACCGGGTATTGTAGATATTTCGATCACCATTTTTTTCACCACCTGTGAAAACGAACGTACACGATTATTTCTCACGGGTAATATCCTACTGGGGGAAATATGATGTTCGTTGTATACTTACATGGACCGGCAACTCCTTACCCGGAATGGCCGGGGTGCCAGTCATAAAGTCATTAGTACAGAACGGCCTAAGAACGACTGAACGTTGACATGAAGGTATCCGAGAAGCAGCGTCACGATCAAAATGTATAGGAATTAAAACTACTGGCATTTGACTGATCGAGCCCATACACCCATTAGTAGCTAAAACTTGGTTCGCTACATGATCCGCTGCCCGGAGCGTGGCTATCACGTTCGACGTCAGATGAGTCGGTGTGATGTCTGTTACAGGATGATGTAATTGAGACCCGAAAATATAACACACGCGGTTCACGTTGTGACACACGCGAGGAATTAGCTTTGCAAGGAACAGCAAGTCCTGCCACTCAATTCCGTCTGATGTGTTTTCTCCGCTAGATAAACCTACTACGTAGCTGTAACTCCTTCGGTCTCCCTAAGAACATGTTTCAACGTGTTGATCTGTTGAATGATCTCTTGGTCTCGCCGTGTTACGTTAGGAAATGCATACAATAATACGTACCTGTACACCTACACTCCGTATAGGCAATAATGTTGCAGCGATGTGACGACGACTCGAAACTTGTCGCAAGTGTTGACGTTCGGCATCGCTGGTCGCACCTTCGACGCGATTTAGCAGTCCATGTTTCTTTTGAAGCATTTGCTCGTATTCCGCCATTATTTTGACTATGACCTATAGGCAAATCGAAATCGATATAATGGGAGAGGAGCGAAGAATACGAGAGAATCCATTGATACGGGGAAAAAAGGAATACCTGGGTCTCTGAGAAATCTTTGTCCATGTAAGGTTCATCCGCGCAAAGAATACGTACAGCAAGTCCGGGGCCGGGGAACGGATGACGAGCTACAAGCGATGGCGGCAGTCCGAGCTCGCATCCCAATTGTCTTACTTCATCTTTGTGAAAGTCTTTCAAAGGCTCCACTACGTGCCCTTGCGCTCTTAACGCCCTTACCAGTTCACTATCATTGTGATGTGTTTTTATCGTGTCTGCTTTACCTGATAGGAACGATTGCATTTTACGTTAATCTGTGGAAATGCTGCTGTTTAGGCAGATCAGAGGACAAAGTGATAAGGAAATATTATGTACCACTGACTAATGCGCTTGCACTTTCTATGAGGTCAGGCCTAAGGGTGCCTTGTCCAAGAAACACTTCCTCCGCCTTTAAACCCATTTCTGACATTATCTCGTTTGCTACCTTTACAAAGACGTCCCCTATAATTTTCCGTTTCTCTTCTGGATTGATCGTTGCGCAAAGCATCTTAGTTAATCTAGTTCTCGGAGTAGTTCCCGTTCCACATATTCCTTTATTGTTTATAGCGTTGGCATTGGCATTCGCTGTCGGAGCGACGTTGTCCACGGGAACGGATGTAGTTCCTTGCATGAAGTAATATGCTGCGTTAACTACTTTTAATCGAATTCCCAACTGTGCCAAACTTTTCTCGACGAATTGCGTCTCTCCCTTTCGCATGAAGCCATTATTGATATGCACGGCTATAACTTGTTCCTTGTTTAAAGCTTTATGTAACAGTGCTGCGCATACCGTTGAATCCACACCGCCGCTCACTAACAACTATGATCGTTTTTTTTTTCTATTTTAATTGACTGTCTTCTCAGTTAGTCTTATACTACTAGATACGTAAGGAATAAAATTTAATTGTACAATCTATGTAACTTACCAAAACTTTCTTGTTACCAACAGTGTCTTTAATATACTGAAGACATTGTGCTTCTCTACTATGAAGCGTATAGTTGCCAGAGAGGCCAGCAATGAAGAACAAAAAATTGTGCAACATCGTTTTGCCATTAGGTGTAAGATCTACTTCTGGGTGAAACTGAACCCCATATAGATTCATTTTGTCACTTGCTATTCCTGTTATATAGTTTGATGATTTGGCAATAACACGAAAACCTTCAGCCACCCTATCTATACTATCACCATGTGTTAACAGTACTATTTGTAATCTCTCCAAGCCCCTAAGACATAATTTGTTTATTTCAAGTCGGAGATGGACAATGATACGTTAGCTAAACAATTCTGTAATTTGCTTACTTAAACAGCAGGCACTTGGAGTCTACTTCAACTGAAAACTGACCATCTTCCCGACCATCCTTTTGTATTACCGTTCCACCAAATTCTTTATTCATCATTTGCATACCATAACAGATACCTAATACTGGGATTCCTATTCTAAAGATATCTGCATCGTATCCGGGTGCATCTTCCGCGTAAACTGAATTTGGCCCTCCAGAAATTATGATAGCTCTACAATTTATCCAAGATAATCATAGTTTTAAAGCATTTCACCTATTGTAGAACTGTACTCTGATATTACATTAGAGCATTCTTACTTATAGCCTTTTTCTTGCAGAGTAAATGCAGGTGTGTCAAGGGGTAGAATTTCACTGTGAACATTCAGTTCACGAATTTTTCGATCTATCACTTTACCATATTGTGCCCCTGCATCCAAAATGGCCACTTTTTCATCATTGCACACCATATCCATTGTTCCTTCATCTGCCCCATTATTTCTCTCTGCGCGACACAATGATCCGTACGCGCTTTTTTCCATTTCAAAATTTCGTATATTGCTATTGCTATTGCTATGATTTCACCAACCCTAAAAGATTTGGTAAATATAGTAGTAACTTAAATAAAAAAAAGAAAAAAATGTTCAACTTCCAAAAATCTTATTATATACTTCAAAGATTGTATAGACTTAAAAATTGGATGATAACAAGGTCCCTGTTATTATTGAACAATTTTTTGTTCAAACATGTAAACAATGGAATTATTAGGAAGCAAATGATAATTTGATGATATAATCATTCTTTCCTATATTTACATGTTCAGATATATCATAATTTATGGTGGAAAATGGTTATTTTGTATCACGGTGAAAAAAAGAATCATGACATCAACAAAACGTTTGAAACAATTTATACATGACACCTTGTCTGTAGTATGTGTTAAATTGTTTTCTATGGCCTTATTTTTTTGTGAAATCAGGTGAACTGAAATCTGCACACTATAGTCATAAATACTGCTAAAAGTTCAATAAATACAAACGGTATGTTCTTGGACAACAACTAAGGGTATTGTTGCGTGTAATCGTAACATATTATTATAGTATGTCACAATCCAACTTAAGTTCTGACAACTACTGTACACTGTGGACGTTAGAATTCTTTCCTGGATACGTGTAAAACGGTGCACACGCACCGTTTGGGTCGATAAATGAATAAAGTGGATGACGTTCGCGAAAAAAACTATCGGATGTGATGTTTAGCAAGAAATAAATAACCGGCCGTAAATCTTAGGAGCACGTTTCTAAGAAACGAAAGTATTATAATCATTCGGCCACTGTACAAGTAATATTTCCAAAGGCACGTAAAATATATCGAAAGACTTACCAAATAATACGAGGCAGAGAATATTTCACGTGTAAATCACCAAGTAACGTAAAATTAATTACAGCAAAACAGAATGTGCACTCTTTGGACGAGGCAGCCATTCAATCGCCTGCAATAGCCACAATAAAGTGACTACCTTCATGTTGGAAATAATAAATGCGTCCAACATTATGACGCAAAAGTTACCAGGAACATATGATGTCGGACCAATTTGATCGATTCTACAAAAACATTTCCTTATCCACATCAATTCTACGGCAATATTACATCTATGTTTTAATAATCTGCAAGCTGAACATTCCCTTATCAAGATCATTCCCTTTCTAATCAAACATTCCTCGAATCAGTCTAGGTATTTTATCGAATGTAAGCATCGTGAAGTTAGCGAAGAACGGCATTTATTGAGCAATATTTTTTGGGAATGTTTTAAGATTTCGTTTACTATTCTTTATCTATTTATACGTTACAGATGCCCAAGGTTGCAGTAACGTCGAGGTAAACATAGCAACTCGGATCTTTACTAGACCATGTAACACAGCCGCGCGTATTACAACCATTACCATAGAATAGGTTGAAACGATTGTCAATTTTAAAGAGAAACATCTATTATCTTAGCATTACACGAATGAACAACTCCATTACCTTAAAAGGGCCATCTGTAACGTTTTCGTTAATATCATAAACTGCTCGAATAGGCTACATAAAACAATTGCAGCATTTATGAACAGCGATGACTCGATAGTTATGCTCACGGATGATATTCAAACAAATTCAGGTGAAAGTCGTGTAATAAGAATATTTAGAAAATTTCGTAGAATGTCATACGTGGATCAATTTTTTCCCGATAGAGGAAAAAGTTGTGAAATTTCTGTAACGGTCAGGAATGTCGCAGACAGCGTTTGCAACAAGGGTAAACGTTATTTTTTGCCGTCAGAGGTTGTAGTGCACAATAGCGAAGATGATTGTTGGGTTTCGTATAATGGCGGAGTATACGATTTGACGAATATTTGTAAAGAATGGGCTGGGAGGAAAGAAATACTGCCGTTACTGGCTCACGCTGGAAAAGATATAAGTCACTGGTTCGACCATGAAAAAAATGATATTAAATATCACGTGCATCCCGTTACCGGAGTTCTGGTACCCTACTGTCCTCACGGGCCAATACCGGATGTAATTCCTCACGTGGTGCCTTCGTCTTCTTGGCGGCCACTCGATAAATGTCCTTGGTGGTTCGACGAGAAGTACAGAAAGGGGTATTTAACCAAAAATCCACGACCATGCAGGCTTTTGAACGTGCTCACCGGAACGGAAATCGTGATGATGGTAAAGAACCTTATTCTCGCTAGAACGAAGCGGAGCCGAAGATCGATACGTTAACGAGAATCCGAAATATAGGTTTGCGAAGAAGACACCGTTAGACGTATACAGACGCGTGCTCTCATTTACAACGCAAACGGGAGAGTTTACACTTGGAAATACGAAGGAAAGTCGTTGAATCTCGACTTGACGTTAACAGAGAACGGCATTCCAGATGAACGTGACCGTTTCGTTGCGTGTGGCCTTCCCGACGATTACTATGTTCCGTGTCTTATGTGCTATTACAACGATAAATGTGCCTGTGGAAATGGACAATAGGAATTCAAAGAGAAATACACAGCATTCACCAAAGAGAAACTGCTGGAAATAAAAGTTCCCTGCGATATCATCGCGCGAGATTTAAGTCGAGTACAAAAGATGGCACCACAGCCACACGCTGCAATGCAGTTTGAATGCAACCCAGGACGGTACAAATGGAACACAGTCTCATAGCTGCAATCGGAGTTGCATCGATAGAAAGTTCGATCTATCTCCTTTCCGTAAGCCGGTGATCTTAATACTAAATTCCCTCGGTGGTTGACCCGTTCCTTGCGCTCAAACCGAAACAGAGGGGGAACTCCGTTTCTCGATGGCAGACCGACGTGTTTGTTCCTCGATCTAAATAGATGTCGTGCGAAAGAGTTGTTTACTTGTTAAAAATGGAAGTCGCGAGGCGCAGCTAACGTCATGGAAGAGAGCCTCGACATCGATTGCACCCCACCGTTGGCCGTGCCGCGATGCGACCACCCGCGATGCGCTTCGCGACGTTTCCCTTCGAACGGTCACAGGCCCGATAACTGGATTCCCAAAAGAAGCGAGCGATCGCAAGGACAAATATACCCGAGGAACAGAACCAAAAGCAAAGCTGTTCGAGCGGTTGTAGTATAGGAAAACAAAGGAGGCGATGATCAGCTTCGGATTTCTAGGTCGATAAGACAGTGGACGTGGGCTACGAAAGTACATTACACGTTTGATCTATTCTTGTACCGCCGTGGTACGGGCCAGCGTATGTATATCGCGGGCACTCGAGCAAAGAAACTTAAAAGACGATCGGTTCGCCGATCTTGAAATTCCAGCTGTAATTCTTTTTCTCTTCACCCGCTGTGCTTCCACCGTTTCATTCATGGCGATCATTATTGACGATAGTTATTGTAAGGCACGCAGGAGGTAACCTTCGAATGATTTACGATCTTATCCAGTATGTTCCATCTATTGGAATTAACCTCGTTTCATTATGGCTCAAAAAATGAGGAGCCTTCTCATCGGTGTTCAACTGGTTTATTTATCGAGCGAACGTTCGGTTCGGTTAAATCGGATCCGGCCGACGAAGAAAAGGAGGAACGAATCTTCTTCGAGTACGATTAAACGAGGTTGATCCGCCGAAAATTGCGGTGCCGTTGCCGGTGTGCCACTGCCGGCGTTGTTGTTGCTGGTGCTGCTGTTGCTGCCGCTGGTCGGTACGCAAGAAAAATCGAAACAATGGCTCGTAAAGCAGGGGAGACCGTGAAGCATCGTGTCGAAGCGAAACGCCGTACTCGAGATCAAGCCACGATAAACCTGTAAAATAGTTAATGGCGATCGTAATGGTAGCAGCGATACGTTCTATAGAGCATTGCTTTATGAGCGAGTTGGACGTCCGCGCGCGGGCATCGGACGCATTTATTTTCGCGTAAATCGAAGACTGCATAAACGCGCATAACGTCCGTCGAACGTTGCCGCGAATGGGAAGCCCGCGAACGGAATCGCCGACGATCGGTGTCGTAACGAGACCGTTCCTGGCAAAGGAAAATCGAAAATGTTGTAACGATGTGCGATGTACTGCCGCGCGTATTCCTCGCTCGCACGAACGGGCAACGTATCGAAATTCTGGGCCCGTTCTAACGGTGCTATAGCTCTAATTATAAGAAATCCGCACCGGTTCCATCGCGCGCGGCACGAGCCCGCTCGTTTATTACACGTGTAACAGCGAGCAACTTAACTAGAGTCGCCTAACCAGGGAAGTGTTTGGATCTGATAAGAACGAATACAATCTAGTCTCGAAAGATTCTAGCAGCGGACGCGGTTTTCGAAGAGCCACCGCATCACCGCGTCTCAGGTTACCAGGTAGATACGTGCAACAAAAGTAGAAGAAACTCGTCCTTTCCGCATTCCCGACACGCCACGGTGTTCCCAAGTGTGCGCCGGCGACTGTAGACAAGGTACGGACGACTGCAGCTGGCAACTCTTCGGCAGAAGGGATTATTGCGAAGCTGCGAAGAGGGAGGACGGCGCGGGTGTTGCCTATCGCAAATCCTCTCTAAGCGAGTCTTAAACTCTCTACATTCCGACGCGATTCAACCTTAGCCACGGCGAGCGAGCAGTATAATAATACGAGCTGTATAAACGCCGCACCGCGCCGTGCCACGTTTCTCCCATGTAACCGTCCTATCTTATGAGTTATTCACTTGACTCGACTATTCGCTGAACCGTGCCACGTACAGAAAATCGACAGTATTCTGCCATCGGAATCGCCGCGCGCCGACTTACGTTTCTCATTACTAATTTGAGTCGCGAGCGTGTCCCGTCGTGGTTCGCCCCCTCCCCTTCTGTTTTTTTCTGTTCGCCGCGGTAATACCCGTCGATACGATTTCGTCGCGTTCACGCGTCGCTTCGAGGAGACAGAACTCGCCGCTTTTAACGAGACATTGATCGTGACTAATGCGCCGGCTAAATAGTTTCGAGGGACGATCCATCTTTTTGCCGTGAGCGCACCGGTCGGCCTTGATAATATAAACGACGAGGATCGCAGCGACGGTAACGATGGATTTCATCGCGATATCGACGCGCGCAAGCCAATAAAGCAACGATCAAAGCAGCGCTCCGATGAAAATCGAACAAGTCGGATCGGCGAGTCGCAGGTGCTGTAGCCTCTGTGGAACGTTTTCGGCGGAAGTCTGTATGCCGGACGCTGTTGTGGACTCGCCTTTGCTAGAACATATCGTGGTTCTTGTCGGTGCAACTTGTACGTCGGTAGCGCCGGCAACTCGTGGGGCAGGAAATTAATCGCATAGTTTCTCACGACATAATAGTGGCAGTACCCACCTGCCCGTCTCCTGCCCTCTCGATCTTCGTCCGTCCAAGATCAGAATCAGTGCCGCGCGGCGTCTATCGATAATTGCTTTAATTACGTCGATGTTAAAGCCTTTTGAAACGTGAAAATGTAATCGGTCGCGTAATGACAGAAAACCGACGTTAAACGATGTAACGCGTAACGAGCGAGCAACGGTTTCGCGGAAACTATTTCGCGCGAACACGGAGGCCAGCGACTCGTCGCCGGGGACGTTCGTTTCTAGATCATCCGCCGCGTGCCGCGACAGATCGTCGGGGACTTTTCGCGTCGCGGATTCCGCCGACTAAATTCTTGAATCGGACCGAAGCTCGGCGTCGTTCGTATAACTGTCAACGTTGATCGGACGAGGAACGGTTATACCATCAGGAAATACATATAGTATGAGCTCGGTGGTATTCGAGCGTTAGAACGCCTCACGCGACCGCTTTTTCTTAGCACCGGCTGGCGCCGTCTGGCTCTCTTTCTCGTTGGATTCTTCTAATCAAAGAGGTTATCGAGGATTGCGCAGTATCGATCGTGCGTTCCTCTGCCCAAGGACGAAGACTGGAGGACATACGTCGCGATTAACAAGAGAAATCGCTTCAAGTGTACTGGAACGTCGAGGAAGAACTCGTCTTGCCAGCGCCGCGGTTCGTGAGAAAATCTACGTGCTCCCGTCTATCCGCGTCTATCCACGCGACCGCTCGTCATTAACCATTAGCCGTATATCCACATGTTCTTTTCATCGCGAAGAAACCTATACAACCTCCCCTTTCCCGGATAGCCGGCCAGCGTCTAAGAATACTCCGATCGCCGCGCCGACCACGGGAATTCGTTAAGGCGATGATAATTTTTCGTCCGCGCGAATTCGCAATCGTCGCCGTAGGTGTTCGCGCGGTTGACGAACGCGTTCCGAGGACCGGTTGCGAGGACGCGTTAGAAGGATAAGAGGATACAGGAGGACAAATGGACGGGAGGTGAACGTCCGTGGCGAGCCCATTTGCCGATACGCCGGGTATGAAAGCGTTAAGACGCTAATCGTATCAGCGGACAGCTATTGTAAATGTACCTATTTCGCCTGCTCGTATCTGCCGTATTCGAACGAACCGGCGCGGGCCAGTTCCGTATCGCGATGCGTCTTTTGTCCAGACCTTTATCCACACCGCGCGGTTCTCCGTACCACTCGGTTTCGTATCGTGCTCGCTTCCCGCCAGCGTCGAACGGAAAGTCCGAGCAGTTTTTCCCATTAACGCGCGCGCGTGGGTCCGCTCGCAAGCTCCGCGAGGGAGCGGGGAGCTTTCCCAGACTGACTCGGTTAACCGTATAGCGAATCGCACCGGCGCTGGTATACATATGTGCGGTAACAATGCCGAGTATTGGCTATACCTGAGATAGGTAGGAAAAAGAAGAAGGGGAAGAGTAGAAAAAGAAAGGGATGACGGGTGAACGGCCGCTGAATGGCACGACCTTCCGAGGCGGCCGGTCGAGCGGCCGAACGGCCGAGCGACCGCGCGACCGCGCGATACGATGCTGCATGTGGCATGCGCACTCCCCCGCGACAAGCTTCCGCGTTCGAAGAAGCACTCTCGACGCCTGGCTGCACGAGAACCTCGAGGAGAGCCCCGCGGTCTTTCGATGCGAAGGATAGGGCACAGAGCTACATACATACGTGGTCTTCCCTTCCGGCGCGGGAGACATTGAAGCATCTCGAGCTTCTGAAAAATGCCAACCGGGGACCGTATTATAGTTCGGCTCGCGGAACGCGATCCGTTATCTTCCGTTTCGTTCGGGCATTCGCCGCGGTTTCTCTTTCGGATAGAGCGAAATCGAAGCCAAACACTCTGTATCGTCGAGAAACGGATAGATCTCGGCACGGTTATCGGTGTGTTTCGCAGCGATATTAAGTCGATTCGTTACGGCGTTACTCGTAGAGTTATCTGCCGAGCGGGGCGCATGCAGCGGTGGAAGATAGTGCGCCGTCAGCGCGCATACCTGTCCGTACAATCCACGTAATCTTATTTAAGTACGATTCTAATAATAGTCGGAGCAGAGTTTTTTCATCTGGCCGAGCATTAGTGGTCGGGGGGGATACGTATCCTATTTTCTCTCGTTGTCAATGAAAAATACCTCGAGCCGGCAAACCGGCTATCCGCTCGCCTCGGTCGCTGCCACCACCGCCGTTGCCGTTGCA